GTGTGTGTGTGATTGTGTGTGTTTCTCTTCTTTTCAGCAGTGAACGTGCACGATATCGCTCTGCACAGAATGAATGACTGAATATCATCTGTGCATGCTGACAAATGGGCTATAAAACCACGTTTCCTTTACATTTCAGTCCGTTACCAGTCCCATTATTGTCTTTTTGAGTTTTGACAGTTAATAATGTCCCTTTTGATCCAAATTTGTTTTCTGATTTGAATCAATAAAGTTTATCAGAGTACTCATCACAGTACAGGGACACAAATACACAGCACAAAATCAAATAGCTTTTTTGTACCACGCTTAAATATATTTCGACACACTCAAATATCTTCTTTCTTCATTTATTTGGCAATATTGTCTCTCATAAAACCTCTCTGAGAGGCAATTACATTAACTATAAAAGAAGATGTAATATGAAGTTTCTATTGCCAAGTTGTTCATAATGACAATAACGCCCCCTCCCCCGCAGCTTTGTATAACGTTTTAGGAGAAACATCACAATGATTTGTGTGTGTGAGTGTGTGTACACACACGTGTGTGCATTTTTTCTTTGGTTTTGTAATAAAGGAATATTAGAAAACTTATAGAAAAACAACATTTTAAAAGGAATGGAAAATAATCAAACTCTGGACTTAAAATTGGTGCTCAAAGAAACACATAAATACCTCTGTGAGTATAGAATTATCTCCATCTTCCGGACTGATTCTAGCTCTGTGTTGCTGTAGTATGCCCTTTGGAGCAATAAATGCAACCAAGCTATCATATTTTAGTTTCGTGGTTTATCATTGCTATTATCATTATTATTTATCATTAGATCCCAGTTACAAGGAAAGTCTAAAGCAAGTGAAGAAAGGAAAGAAAGTCTGGACCGGCTTTCCATCTGAAGGTCAGAGTCTGGTCCTTTTCTCTAATAGGTTAATAGAAGCTGATAGAGATCGGTGTTGAAGAGACTGGCCTAGCTCTAACTGCCTATGTCTAAATGCCAATCCCACTAAAACTCTAATGATGCAACTTACTAGCAAACCTTGAGTGCAATCAGCTGCCACACCCACTAACAGTAGCTCTCCTCATTGATCCTTGCACTTGGAAAAATTGCTAGGTTAAACGTTAGTGACCAGGAAATAGCCCCCAAGGATGTGTTCAATTCAAGGGCTGGAACAACCCATTAAAACTATTTGAGAGATGTAACATATAAAAAGTTTTACCTTTGTCCACAATGTTGGACTTTAAAAGCAAATGGATATTATATTTAAGCAGTTTAGCAAGGGTAAAGCAACTAGCTCGAACAAATAATAGGAATCATGACATGTGACATTCACTCATAGAAAACCTATCATTTCCTTTGCTTGTAGCTAAATACAACCGTGCTATTTTATCTTGGTTTAACGGTCTATCTTTGCTAACATTCTCCAAGTAGCACTAAAACGATCATATAGCTAAAATTATATAATATATAGTCAATAGAATTTTATTAGATTAGATACATTTTTTAAGTAATGGCAGTCCTAGATAAATTTTTTAAAAGAAGGAAAATAAATATGTTGGTGTTGCCATGTATAATTTGGTCCATTTGTTTTTGGACAATGGTAGCTTTGCCTTCACACACCACCACAGTGGAATTTAAATCAAGCGGTCAATATGTGATTGAAGTGCAGATTTTCAGCCTTGATTAAAGGGATTCAACAAAAATGTTGTATCATCTGTTTAGCAGTTACAGCCATTTTTCAACATGGTCCACAGTTTTCAGAGGATCAAAATAAAACAAACAACCTAAAATAATTTCAAATATCATTGTTTTTAATAATGTGATGAATACTATGATGACCCTACCCACTCAGCCTTCTCTGTTCTGCCTCTTTCTGGTCTTGTGTTGAAGGCAGCAGGTTGTGATAGGCAGATATTGAGAGACGGCACATCTGTTGGCACTTGGCTAATGGTTTAAAACGGCTTGACGCTAATGTTTTCACTTCTTTCCAGCAGGCAGGAGAACAGCTGGTTTGGGTTTGGCTTTGGATTAACTTCACTTTTCTTTTAGAGACCTTTGCAACATACGTGAATTCACACTCTTCACGTGACTGATCTGGCCACTACATTTTTATTTCTTTTAATTTACATTTTTATTCCTCTAAGATGACTGACTTGGCCTGAACAGCAACCATAATGTTGCAACGACAAAGAATTTCCCATTTCTTTGCCCAGAGAAACTGCTGGGTTGATTTTGCAGTTTGTTTAGGATCATTATCCATTTGCACTGTGAAGCAGTATTTATCTGAATCTCAGCAGAAAGTATAGCCCTGTAAACTTCAGAATACATTCTGCTGTTCCTATCAGCAGTCACATCATCAGTGCTAGTGATCTAGTTAAATGCCTACGCCATAACACTGCCTGCACCCTGTTTGACAGATGATGTGGTATGGATTTGATCACGAGAGGTTCTCTTCCTTTCTCTTCCCATCATTATGGTATAGATTAATCTCAGCTTTATCTGTCCAAAGAATATTTTTTTCAGAAAAACAACAGGGCCTTCTTGATCCTCAGTGTAGTCAGTGGTTTGCATGTTGGTGTAAACACTTAATCTTTTCCATTCTTGAAGGTCTCTCTTGATTGTAGTTTCACAATATCTCCTTGAGAGTGTTCTTGACTACACTTGACTTCTTGACTAGAAAGTATGAACACTTTTTAAACCAGTGAAATAACTCTGCAGTCATCCACTGCAGTTGTCTTCTGTGGGCTCCCAGGAATTTTGCTGTTTGTGAGCTAACTGGTGGATTGCTTCTTTTTTATGAATGCACCTGTGATGGCTGCACTTACAGCCAAACAGTGGTAATATCACCATGTTAGTGTAGAGGCTTATAAGTAACCTTGCATTCACATTTCTTTCTTTAAATATAAGAATTTATTTACAGGACAATAAATAACTGGTTTTGGTTTAGAATTATTCACATATCCACATAACACTGCATTCTAAAATAAGTGCGCACATTTTAGTTTACACTGTTATGTATGATTAATTTTTTTTTTCCGAGCTACCTTAGTTGCAGCTGTTCCAGTCCCTTGATTAAGTAGCCAAGAGGTGGAAAAGGGGCGGAGCGAGCTTTAAAGGAAGACTACAAATTGGTTCACGCCATAACTCAGGACCATGGGGGGGAATTGGAGTTCATTATGTTTGGTTTAGTTAGGTTTTGTGTGTTTTACCCCTTCTCCTGTTTTTGTGGGCTGATCAGCCACTATTTAAGTTTCCTCTTTGTCTCATTAAGTTAGGTCAGTTTGTTTGAGTTATCAGTTGTGTTGTCAACTTTGAGTAGAGTTTTGTTAGTTTGACCTCTTTTATGGGCCCAAGATTTTGATTCTTTTTGCATGAGTTAACCAATTATGTTTTTTGGGTTAAATAAAAAATCATTTTTTGGACTTTAACCTGTGCCCAAGTTTCCTTCACTGCTCGGTCCATCACAGCACCAGATTGTTGGTTTGGCAAGGATGATATTCATCTTCTGGGAACATGAATATCAGCACAAAGAAAGTCATCAGCCAAGAGAATTCTGCACTATAGACCAACGTAGGGGACACAGCAACTTTGCCTTTGTGAAAAAAGAACACCTCATCAACAAAGGCAAATGCCATTAATTAATTGTGCAGCTTAAAATGTTATAATGCGATGTGATGTGCTGGTTGTGGTTTGCTTACTTTAGATGATCCTGTTCATTGACTTCTAATTCACCAAAACAAAATCATTTCAGTATTCAAACCATAATGAAAGAAAAACATACAGGATCTTTCTACATGTTTAAAAAAAAAACAAAAAAAATAACAGAGCTGACTGAATTTTAAACATATTTTTAGATGAAAGAAGGGCTGAAGATGCTGGCTTGCTAATCTTAAAAGTAAATTTTAAAAAATAGGAAGAATTTAAAATAAAAGAAATCTGGATTCCTCTGAGTCCACTAAACTATTAAGCACCAGTGGACTGGAGAAGCTATACCTGATTTTAATGAGCATCCACAACTAGGACAGCTAAAGCTACTGAGACTGCATTAGTGCCCGTTAAGTTAACTGCGGGGATATGCGACACTCACAGAGAAAATGTGAGAATGCTCAGATGTTGTTTTTTTTCCCCCCATCAGAGAGTGGTGCAGTCTTGCATCATGCATGTGCTGCACTCTGGGTTCCTTTTGCCTATGATGATATCATCTTCTTTTATTCTTTCTCAGATTGTACTTCATAAGACATGGGATATAGTGAAGATGACTGGATTTCTCATTTATTTAATGCTTTACTGAAATACCCTCATGCAGTCTCTTGTAAAAGATATTAGAGGTCTAAGAAAACTTAAATAATCTCATCTAATGTAACACATCTGAGAATTTCATCAGTGTTTCCTCATTCTAGTCAAAAATGCTGCAGTGCATTCTGCCTCCGTCATTTACATTATGTAGAACAGTTGCTTTATAATTCTTGTGTCCTTTCTCTGCATTGCACACACCTTATAGGCAACCTGAGGCTGTTTTAGCTATCAACTGATGCAGTTCTCCACATTTTTCTTGAGGCAGAGGTATGTGCAGATTGTAGCAGTTAGGCTTTTGATTAATGCAGTGTTGCCTTAATAATAATAATCACTTGGTCACTTATGTTCATGTTTTAGTATTTTATTTCAGGTAGTTTTTAAAAAATGATTTGCCTAATGTTAGTTGCATTAATAATAATAATAATAATAATAATAATAATAATAATAATAATATTTAAAATGGGTTTCAAGTTAGTTAAAAGGTATATTAACTTTAGAAAAATAAAAATGCTAATTTTATTTTATTTTATTTTATTTTATTTTATTTTATTTTATTTTATTTTATTTTATTTTATTTTATTTTATAGAGAAGCAGACTGTCTCTCAGACTTTCACACAAACCCTAACAAAAACAAACGCTTCGCTCCAGCCGGCTACTGTGATTGGTCCGTAGACACCCCCGAGTTCTCGCCCTATCTCGCGATGCCAAGGATTCTTCCCAGTGAGAAGCAGACGCTGAACTGTATTCAGTCGCTGTTGTGGCTGGGAGGCAGCAGAGTCAGGCAGTATCTTTGGTTGACCGTGATCCAGCCAAAGGTAAAGCAGGAGTCTTTTAAACTGACCGACAAAGCGAAAAGAAGCTACTGACGTGTCTGGCCAAACTCCGACTTTGCACGACACCTTTCATCCTCCAGGTAAGGTTGCTACCTTTATCGTCCTGTTGGCTCCCGCTGTCCAGACACTCATATACAGGGCTAGCTGATATTTTCACAGTTGAGTTTTACACCAGCAAAGCAACATTTAACCCCCCCCCACCAGTCTTCGCGTCCTCTTCTGTCACATTTTAAGTTATCCTTGTAAAGCACTTTGTCGATAAGTCATGAAGAAAGCCTCCAGCTGGTCGGCGTGTGTTAACGGAACCAGAGTGTGTGTGTGGGGGGGGCAAGCAGCAACTTCAAAGCTCACTGTCGACTCTGTCTCTGGAATGGATATCCCTGTTAGCTTGTATGCTAACGATACATCTGCTTAGTATAAAGTGGCTTGGCTTGCTCACTAGCTAGCTGGCTAATTCGCTTGCCAACTCAACACAGTGACAATAGTTCTGGGTTACTGTCCTGTCGATGAGGCGGTGGTGAGGTTGCGAGGCGAGGGAGCCATGGCAAGCATTTTGTGAATGAAACTGACAAACTTAACTTGTCCGGTTAGCTAACCTGCAGGCATTGATACTTAAAGCGACAGTTCTGCTCTTGGTTTATTGTACCTTGAATAATTTTAAACCCACAAGTCTTTGCAACAGAATAGCGACTTTTAATTCTAGTACCTCTTAAGGTTCAAAGGAAGGTATCTTTTTGTGCACAAACTTATCTACAGAGATGATTTTACTCCACACATACCTCTAGCTGTGAGTTTGTTGTACACTAAAGATAAAAAAAACAGCTATTTGTAAAAAGCCTTTTGAGGAGTAGAGAATAATCAGAGATTGAACTTAAGCAGCCTGAGCTCTCTGCTGTGGTAACTACACAGCTGTTAACTGTGTGCCTTTGTTATGGATCTTCTTTAAATGGCATGGGGTGATTTTAGGGAACTGATATGTTCATGTTGTTGGTTTTTCTACATACTCTTACAAATGTGTTTACTCCAGGCAAGAAAAATTACGAGCCAGATAAAGCTGTCGGAGGAAAAGAAAAAGGTCTGCAGATTATTTGGCCACAGTTTTAAAATGTAACTCTTAAAACATTTCTATATGGGCATTATTTTCATCTGTGCTGATTTTGAGATCATTGTCACCAAATTTATAGGTTTGGCCAGGCTCTACAAAGTACACATTCATTGTAAAACCAAACACACTAACATAAAATAAGCTGTAATATAGCAGTGACCATGTTATATGTAAGACCCTGGGTGTGCCTGTTTTTCTCCTTGACGTACTAGTCATGTATCCCGGAATGATGAAGGGGATGGAAGGAGAATCTCTTATATTTTGTTTTTGTATTTTAATGTTTTTTGTGATTGCCCAGAGGAACGGTTATTCCTGTAATAAATGTCTGGTTGTTCAGGAAAATTTTTAAATAAGTAAATTTTAAGATGCATTTATTTGTTACATGGTGGTTGCATTGTTGCTTAGCATTAAGACTTAGTCTGTTGTGTTTGCATGATATGGTCAAGAAAGGCACATATGCCTGTTGAACTGAGCATGGAATCTGGCATATGCACCAGCTGCCTCTTTAAATGGTGTGCAGACTCTGCCTACATGGTGTACTGCATGTGTTTATGCAAGTGCGTGCCAGTATTCAGGATCTCCTACTAAAAATCTCTGCCCACTTTGGGTGTGTCTCTTCCTTTCTGTTTGATATGATGCCGAGAAAGAGCCAGCCAATACCAGTCTACTCCACTTTGAACAGTTTTCTGCACTCTAAGTGTTAGAATAGGGACTGATGTTTAGTAGATTCAAAAAAGGATGTTTCTGAGGAAAATCGTAAGTGAAACAGCAGTTGTCATGTGTTTTGTTCATGCCGTACTGCTCTCTGCTCCCGGGTCACTGTGTAGAATTATGAACCAACACTCCAAATATGATCATGGTCAGTCCTGTGTTGACAAAGCAGTTTGAGCTACCTAGGCGTAGACTATGTGTAAGATCTTTGAAATCATCATTTGGTATTTGGTGATGAGACAGCAGGACATTGTTTTTAAGTATTACAGAGAGAGCTGCAGCGGTTCAGACTGTGTAGGTTATTTATCCCTCCTTGAACTACTGCCGGGAGGTTCTTTTCAGTTGTCACTGGTTGTACCCCTCAAGGCCTACTGGATTAATTGATCACTTAATGCCTAGCATGTCACAGACCTTGACATGCGCTATTGCGTTGAAATAATCAGATTTATTCTCTTCACCTGTGAGATGTCATAATGTTTTAGCTCATGTGTGTTTGACACTGAATTCGTACTACCAGTTGTCACTTGTTAGCAGGGAGTACGACTTTGCAAGCAGTTTAAAGTGAATCCTGGCACAAATAATAGGAGCTGATGGCACATCCATTAAGAATGAATATTAAGGGAAGTGAGACTTACTGTCTTCAGAAATTAATAAAAATGCATATTGATTTGTACATT